CGCCAACCACCACACGCGCACTTCCCCCTCCCACCCCACCCATTCCCCCGATGCTCCCTCCGATGCTCATGGTAGTTGTCCCTGTCAGAGGCGGTCGATGACTTGACGACGAGATCCCGATGCCTAGAGGCAACTTCGAGTATACTAGGTGCGTGCCAGACCCGACGACCGCGCCGCCAGAGGCGTCCATTTCGATCTTGCTGTTGCTGCCTCCTACTCCGCTGTTGCTCCCCGTGCTCGCGCCCAATGGCTGTTGCTGCCGTGCCTCTGGCGTTCCGAGGCGCCCCCGCATCATCACCGTCTGGTAGCCTCCGGCCAACGCTACCGCTGTCGACCCCGGCCCCGGGCTCCCCTCCCTAGCTGCGGCGGCGGCGGATAGACATGCTGCCCCCGCTCCACTCCCCGTGGGAGTCGGATACACGCGCGAAGCGAACGTGGCGACGGGATCAAAACCCGCGCCGCCCAAGATCGACGAACCCTCGGGCTCCATCTTCGCGCTCAAAAGGAGACCGCCGCCAGTTCCCGGAAGAGAGGCGGAGGCACCCGGCGCGAGCACCCGGTTAGTACTAACGCTACCGCCTCCGCCGAACGGTGAAGAACTGCGCGCCGGTTTCCCCGGTATCCCAGGCACAACCCCACCGCCAGCCGTTTCTGGCGGGCTTGGGACGGGGGGAAGAAGGCGAGAGGAGTGTGGAGGCGGCGTATCTTCCACCGCAGGCACCGACCCGCCGCCACCACCCCTTGACTGCGAGTTATTATGATAATGCAAGTGCGATACAGAGACTATGGGAATGTGAGGCGCGGCGTGTGGATGGTGGCTGTGGCCCTGCTGATCATGATACCCGCCAACGACAATCTTGCCGCCAACTCGGGAGAGCTCTCCGGGCCCCCCCCCTCCTGGTAACTCTCCTCCACCCACTCTGCTCGTCGAAGATCCTCCTCCTCCTCCTCCTCCTCCTCCTCCTCCTTTGGCCGAACCTTTTCCGTACGTACCACAAACGTATGACCCCCCTCCTCCGCTTGATGGGGACCCATTCCTCTCCCTCAATTGCTCCGCGGACAAGAGCTCCGCTTTCACGTCAGGTCTCCCACCAACCAAGTCCTCTCTGCTGCTCGACCCCTCCTTGTTGTCTCTCAACCCTCCTGCACCGCTGCCACCAATCATGTCGTAGTCCTTGTTCTTTGCCGCCGCAGCGCCCAGACTAGCTGCAATCACGCCTGCTGCGTTCCTCCCTGACCTCCGGTTCTGGAACCACACCGTCACTTGCTCCAAGCTTATACCTGTTGCTTCTGCAAGCGCCATTCGTGTCTCACGAGGGGGGAACATACTCTTCTGAAACGACTCTTCCAAAATCAACTTCATCTCGTCCGTGTACTTTATCCGCTTCCTTGCTCCTCCTTCCACGTGCGACCGTCCGTCTGGTGGATCCCCGTCTGATGCCCTACTCTTCGACGCCGCCATTGGTCATACAAGCTTTCCGGGCCCCTCCTCACCGCACCCAGCCCACCTACACACACACACACACACACACACACACGCACACACGCACACACGCGCACGCACGCGCGCGCACACACACGCACACACACACACACGCGCGCGCGCGCGCACGCACGCACGCACACACGCAGAGTTCTCTCGTATGCAGGCCAGGGAGCTGGCTAGCAATCACCTAAGCCCCCATAATGTCGTTCCATATGTATCCCGTTGTCCGTCGAGAATTACAATATAGTCATACTCCAGCTATCGGGAGAGTCCGAGAGGGTGTTGGGCATAATCCTCTTCAATCGCCCCACCCCCTACATTCTCCCCCTCTCCCGCCTCCAGTTGACCCTTAACCGACTTCCCCCTCCCTCTATCTCTCTCCCCGTCATCACTCTTCCCCCATTCCAGGATGCCTGTCTCTTGCCCCCGTTCGACGTCGCGCTCTCTTGACTAACGTCGCAATCTTGGGCGCGACTCCGCCTTCCACGTCACGGTATCCCATCTCATCCCAACTATCAGGCTCAGGGCAATACCCGGGGGGAACGGACTGCCACTATGGCGGGTGAAATGGCTTCAGTCGGAAAGGTTTCCTCAACTTTCCCTGGCCACAGTGGATACACAGCTGTAACGAGTCCTTAATGAGGCGGGCTTCACAAAACCAGAAGAGCGACCCGCACGACGAGCTGACCGTGATCGGGGATTTTCCTCGTGGCAGGAGAGAGGCTGTAGGCGACAGATTTCTGACCCCCTCCGCCGTACAGCGCCGCCAACGGACCGACCGTACAAAGTTATCAAGGTGCATTTCCCCCCCCTGTTCTCCTACTGTCTCTTCGCGAGGCCTCGCGCGCTGGTCATCACCACCTCCTCCTCTATCTCTAATCACATCATGGCCGACCTATCCACACCCCTGTGAAGACGAAGACGGACGAGCTGCCCCGCACTCAATCGTCTCCAGAGGATGAGTGGGACTGTCCGAAGGAATGGTACCATTGCCAGGACTTCAAAAACTGATTTCCTTTCCAAGTGCGACCCTTCGCTAGGTAGGGCACGGGTTTGAAGCCGTGGATATTCCTGTGGCCCAACTGCCCACCTTGACCTCGTTAGGCGACTTTCAGTAGCCAATTAACGGGCCAAGCATACTTGAGCGGGTACGCTGACAACACATAGACAGCGGTATGTCTACAATACACGACGATCAAAAGGTGATGACGTCAAGCTACATGCCCTAGCTTATGAATACGAACCACCTGTAGGAGGCACGGGCCCCACTGTCTAGACCTTCCTTCCAGGGACGCGAACCGACGGTGCAAACGAAGGCAATGGGAATTCCAGGCCCAGATAGTGGCTGGCAGTCTACAGCAACTGGCGCCTCCTGCAGGGAGAAAACCAGACATCCACGGAACCCATCCTGAACTGCCTTGTGTATTACGGCCAGCAACCTTTGGTCCTGTGCTCAAGGAAATCACGAGCCTGGATTCCATTACGGACAAGTTCATGATCTCAAGCAAAAACATAGCACCATCTGGCCCTTGCGGTCGGTGGGACTCCAGGCTTCCGTAGTACGGTATTTGAAGAAAGGAGCTGGCATATCCGATACCGTACTACGGTAATTGAAGAAGAAAGGCTACAAGGAGCTCTGGCATATCGGATACCGCACTAAAAGCAAGAGAAATGTCGCATTGGGTACTTTGTCACTTCTGGCAGTGCCCGGGTAAATATTTTGCCTCACACCGCCACTCGGGCCTCGACAGGCCCCGTATCATGTCAAGCTGCTGCCCACGCAGGTAAGGCAGGCTGCACATCTCTCTCTCTCTCTCTCTCTCTCTCTCTCTCTCTCTCTCTCTCTCTCTCTCTCTCTCTCTCTCTCTCTCTCTCTCACACACACACACACACACACAATCACCAGTACCTTTGCAGTCCGGTTTCGACAAGTTTTAGCCTAGTGCCGAACTTTTAGGAGGTGGGGCCCAACAACAGCTGCTTTTAAAAAACCTGATCGGCGGCCGTCGTTTCGTTTCGGCCTCCTGAAAGGTCGGAGGCCCACTATTTTCCGAACCGACAAAGGTACTACCCGTAGTGCTTTGCCCAACCAATTCAATTACCTGTCGAATCTGGACAGGACAGCCTTTTTCAGACCGTTTTATTGTCATTTAGTATTACAGGGAACCCCGTAGCAGCCACATCCGTGCTCAAGCCTCCAAGGAGGGAACATGCGGGAGCTGCACCCACCAGCAGGTGAGCGATACTTGCCAGGGGTCAGCCGGTAGCATCAGGACTGAGCTTCTTCGACGGGCCAGTCACTGTGCCTCCCCTCCGGTCCTCTCCCCCACTGAACATAAGCAGTCTCTGCTCACTGCCATTCGGGGGGACCAACGGCATATCTCTAGGTGGCGGGCGCCAGGCTTGCCGAGGACATGAGGCCAATGGGGATTGAACCCAAGACCTCCTGAATGCCACTTGCGTGCCTTACCGACTGAGCTAGGCCGCTGAATTTTTATGTTTTTCTGAACCACCTGTAGGTTTCCCAGAAAAGAAAAAACAAATGCGCTAGTATCTAATAGCAGTAGTGTCTAAGGCCAACTCTCTCCCACACACCACACATAACATCTTCGACTAGCGCTGTTGGGGGGGGGTAAACATGTGACGCGCTAGTTCCCGGACCTGCGCCATCTTTCGTTCCCCTCCCCCCGCCCCCTCCCCTTTTCTTTCTTTTTGTCGAATTTTTGGGTGACCATCCGACGAGGCCTCTTTTTGTATTTTCATGAATGTAATATGTGGGACCCTCGGATCAATTTTTGAAAATTTGTCTTTTGCAAATTCGGGAATTACATGGGAATTACACGCGCCTTAGCGAGCGCGCTCGGAATTTGGGTCGACGGTTAGGAATTTCGGAATAAGCGGAATCTGACGTGTCCTTTCTTGCGCTTGAATGTTCTCAACTTCGTATTGGAAAGCTCTGGGGACTTTCGTAAGAATCTGAATAGGCATAGGATTTTTTCTCCCGCGCCTGCTGTACCGCACGGATATGGTACTTTTCAATTTGAATTAGCTATAATTGTTTTGGTGTCATTTCTGCCTCCTCGTCGGCGCCATGCATGCGAGCCTCCCCTCCCCGGTCACGTCATATTGTAATGGATGAATTATGGTAACCTTGCTTCTCTCACTTCGGTATGTGCATGCGGTGAGTCGTGTTAGAAAGTTTGTTATAGCATGATTGTAACGACGATTGGCTGATCGACTGAATGATCTGATTGCTTGGAGTGTCAGACGAATTATGTATGATTAAAATTTGTTTTGAGCTTATCTTTATTGCCATGTGGACTGACGGCCCCAGTCCGACCGGGCGCCAACTCCCTGTGACCCCGTCGTGCCCCTTCCCGTACAACGAGGAAGGGATACGTGTATGTGAGTGGGGCGTACGAGAGGCCGTCGCCAAGATCGGAGGGCGTTATTTCATTCTTCCCGAAACTCGGTGTTCTGAATTTGTCGGTGCGGGTTTTGTTATCATCGATACGCACTTTCCGCCCTATTCCTTGTTATTACCCTTTAACGAACTGATCGTCGTCCCGTGGACGGCAGTGGAGCCTCATTGGCCTAATACTCTCTGCAGCGATTGTCGCCGCTTCGAGCATTACCAGGCCAACTGGTGAGGATGAGCACAAAGAAAAGGCTACCCGGTTGAGGTCCTCCACGTCGGACTCGGAGTTGTGCAACGAGCGCCGACAAGACCTTATTCAGAAACGAGATACCACATGTCCCCTTCCATGCAAAACGAAGAGCGATAGCTTTACTTTTTGGATTGAACTTCCCATAGCTGCAAAACCCGCACGCGCCTTTTTTCGTAAAGCCTACGAAGCGACGGACCTTCTTCTTACTACCGTCGGATCAACACGGGGGGATTTCAATTCTGTATGTGTGCTTGCACTCAATTTTTCAAAAATCCTTGGCACACCTCATCTTTGCTGTCTTCCCCGTGCCCCCTTCCATAAGCTCAAAACACTCCGACTGGGAAGCAGCGCAGGGCGTGAGGTTGGTATTGAAGCCGACACGTGTCGGTTCTGACGATAGTAAGTCGAGCTGGCGAGAGGAAAACCAGCCAACCGATCTAATCGACTAAGTCCTCTTGTTACCCGACAAAGGTCCACCGAAACTCGACCAGAAATGCCCATGGCTGATGCTAATGGAGCGGCTCCTCGGGTGATGGTAAGCATTTCCGCCACCTTTCCATTTGACGCCAACCATACCCATCCCGAGGCATGGCTTGAAGTCGTGCAAGCTCAGAGATATGGCTCAGAGGATTTTCCTCGCGTCATCACCTTGCTTCTCCAAAACACCGCTCATGATTGGTTTAAGAGACATAGGTGGGTAGATTGGGATACCTTCAAAAGAGCGTTCCTAGCACGATTCGACGAAGTCAGTGAGGATGCTGCATGGTTTGTATTGAAAACTCGACCGCAGAAACCCGGAGAATTAATGTCCGACTTTGTGGACCGGTTTTAAACTGCGTTAGACAAATCAGGGCGAGAAGAAAACGTTGCTCGAGACTTGTTCATCAATCATCTCCGTAACCCAGTGTTGAAAGCAAAGCTGCAAAAAAAGGTTTCTCTAAAAACGAACCAACTACCAATCATCATCGCTAAAGCACTTGAACTCGACTTGACGGATACTCGCAAATACATCAGTCAGGGGGACGAAGACATCTCGGACACGATACACGATGTCGCCACCAAACGGCGATCGTGGCTCAGAGCGGTAGGGCGATTCTACCCTCACCCTGATCGCGACTATCAAGACGGACCCTCACCGGATTCCTCCCCTCATCTCCTGTCTCCTGCTCCTCCCCTCCCTCCCAAGACGCCGGTGAACACCGTCATGCCCCAGGTTGCGCCACTACCCGTCACTAACCTGCATCTAGCACAAATAATTCATACAGCCACAACTTAACAGTCCGAGTGGATGAACAATCTGATACAGATGCAAACTTCCCAGATGGATCGATTGGAACAGATGATGACGAAACTGATAAAAACTAACTCGAGTTCTCCGCGTCCCGCTCCGCCTTCGTACCCCATGCCGACTGCTCCTCCTACCCCTGGCCAGACGCTTACAACTCCGAATCAGGTGGTCAATCAGACAGGAAGGGTTGAATGTTACAACTGTAAGCAACCCGAACACTTTGCAAGCGACTGCCCCTT